TCCAGAAACTGTTCGTCACCCCCAGCCACACTACCGCGAAATGAAGAAACGGTACCTGGAACGTGACGACGATATTATGCGAATAAATTGAAATATTTGATGATATTATATGTCGTGATTATTTGTTCCATTATTTTGAGAAATTTATATTTATAAAATATTTAATATTTAATATTTAAAAATGATTCTCAAATTTCCAAGTATTAATTTAATTTGAATAAAGATATTTTAGTTTATTTTTATTGTATATTTAAATTTATTGTAATTTATTATAAATGAATGTTTTGTCAAGATTTACCTCGACATTTATACAAATTTTATGAGTGATATTTATTATCCAGTCGTATAATGCAAACCGGATATCATATAAGATAATTTATTAATCATTAAATATTTACATTTCAATATACTATAAAAAGTCAGTGAGATTGTACAATATAATTTATTAGATTTGTATTATCGTAATAAGTTCTTTCTAAATTTAAATAATATACAGAATATACATACAGAAAAGTAAATTTCTTAATAATCTCATTTTAAAACTTTTTAACTTGATATTTTTAAACTTTTTTTCAAAAATTTGATGAAAAGCTTTCTGCTCTATAATTGATTAAAAAAAAAAAATAATAAAGAAAGAAAAACAATAATATTAAATTTGTATCTGGTTACATATAAATTTTCATATTTAATCCACGAATAATACGATTTTCGATTTTAAATAGAAAATATACTCTTTGAATCAACCTTTGTATTATGAAATTTTTATGCGACATCTACCTTTCAAAGAGAATAAATACGATTTCTCGTATTAACATATAAAAACTGATCTTTCTCGCATACTTCCTCTCATATTCACAAAAAGAGCGTGACATTTAAATTACCTGCGGTGGTCCGTTAACGACAGCGTATATCCGGAGACCGGCATACGGTGCCCAGGATACCCAGAAAGCCATCACCAGGACAAAGGACATGATGTGACTCGGATTGCTCAGGTTTTCCGAGAGCGCGGTCGCGTACTCCTTGTCGTGTATCAGTACGCCGGATCTTAGCCGCCTCATCATAGTAAAGATGTAGCAGTAAGTGTAGACGATGGTGATGACCGATGGGCCTAGCACGAGGATCGACAGTGTGATGGTGTAAGCAGCCATGTTGCCCCAATCGAGCATGCAGATGAACGCCTCCCGGTCGAAAATCGGCTTTTGGAAACCTAGGAGGGGCGGGCAGCACATCATCGCCACGCTGATCCACGTGAAGACCATCCAGCATTGGCATCGGGTCTTCGTCTGCACGGTCTCGTAACGCAATGGTTTCCTGTCAAATCGATACTTTAATCATGAACTCGACTTAAATGTAAATTCCAGTCAATTTCCAGGATTGAGATTCAATTTTAATTTTATTTGTGATATTGGTTGACGTTGGACTTGAACGTTGGAGAAAGTTGAGGGTTATGATTGAGTTTATAATACATGGAGAAATAAAGAGTCAAGGATATAGAGTTGAAGTTCTAGTGAATAATGGATCATTCGTGTATGTGTGTGTAAGTTGTTGATCGATGAAGATGGAATGAATTAGAAAGTTTGACGAAGATTGTTGAGATTTCAATTTACCTATTATCTTGATATTGATTATCGCTCCAACTTGAATTTATTTTATTGCTCTATATGTTGAACATATGTTAAACTAAGATGTATTATATTGCTGTAGGGCGTTATTAGATTATAAATAATATTAAAGAAATATTTAATCATCGTATACATTATTTAATATATTTTAAATAAAACAAAAATGTTTTATATTCATGTTGTTCATTGAATGTTCTTTTCAAATTCTACTTGAACATCTCATTTAATTTTGTTTTCCATATTTCTTGAAAAAATATAATAAATATTCAAAAGCTTTTGAACATAGCTTTATAGAAAAGAATGAAAGAAATTGAAACGTACCTGATAGCCAAATACCGATCGACGGAGATCCACATGAAGGTGTAAACGGATACCGCCCAGAGAGTAACTTCCAAATAGCCAACGAGACGACACACGATGTCCCCGTAGACCCATCTTCGTACCAGCGCCGGATACACCGAAAGCGGAACCACCAGCAGACCACAAAGAAGATCCGCCGACGCGAGAGACAGCAAGTAGTAGTTTATCACCTCGGAGGGACCTGTGCGGTGTGATGCTCATTTGTATTTATCTCGAGTGTGAACCACATTTCACCGAATGTTACAGTATTCGTTACTTTTTTCACTGCTTTGTGGTGACAGAGTCAGGAAATTAAAAAAAAAAAATCCGCAAGAATGAAAAAAAAGAAAAAGTTGTGGCATGATGAAGTAGTAGGATTATATCAAGATAATGAATTTGAATTTTAGAATATTTATTTATATTATAATATATTATATTATATTAAAACTATTAATATTATATTAGAATATTGATTATGTTAAAAAAAGTAAATGTTTGAATCTATGTTTGAATCTATATTATATAATAATGATTAATATAAATTTGTAAAAAGATTTTGAAATTAAAAATAATTAATAATTTGGAAAAGTATGAAATATAATAAATATTAAATTACTTAATAAAGATATAAATTAAAAGAAAAAGTTACATACACTGTTTATAAGTATATAAATAAAAGAAAAAGAAAAATATTGTTTTTTAAGAAACAAGTCTATCTATATCTTGATGCAATATGTAAAATCAATATTTATATGTCAAAAATCAATAATAACACGTATAATTTAAAAATATTTATGATTTTCCAATTAAATTTCAAAAATAGAATGCAATTTCTTTTTATCTAAGAGAAATAAATAATTTTCGCAAAAATTACCAAGAATATCAAGATGTTAAAGTACTTACCACGGAAATTAAGGTAGGTGGCGATGATGAGGAGATTCGAGAGGATGATGGCGACACCGACCACGAAGATGAGGCCCGCCTGCATGAGAGCCTCCAGCGAGGGCTCCTCCATGCCGCCACCCTTTCGAGCTGCATCCCCCCACCCGCCC